TGGTTGAACTCGATCATTTTATTTTGAAACATCTTACTTTCATCTCCATCCAGCTCAAGTTTGGATTCTAGATGGCATGAATAGTCTTCACTTAAGTCCAAACCATTGCTGCCTACCACACTGCTGGGTTGAAATGGAAGGCTAAAACTGGCTGCTGGAGGCTTATAATGGCAAGAACAAGTTTGATGGTTCACTTGGTCACTGACAGACTCATCATCTGTGATCGACTCATATATAACTCCAGGCCAGGTATGTAGTTCATGATGTACATTAGCAGGCCTGATCACACCAGCCTCCATGGGTAAGGTTACTGGATTGGAATCAATCCCTATAGTTTGGCAGAGAGGGCTTGAGGTTTTCCCCGATGGCTCATAGTTTATAGATGAATCCACAGTAAGACCAGTGGCTCTATGCTCTAATGGAGCCATTCCTTTCACAAAATTAGTATCAAGCTGTTGAGCTGAATTACTCTTTGTATCATTGGAAGAAAATGTTTTGACAACATGATGGGGATGCAGTCCTGTGTGAATGACTCTATTAGCGCTGATCTCATACTCATACAGATCTTCAGACATTTTGTGTCTTAGACTTAATTTCTTTCCTTTGGATTTCAGGGAAACAGGTGAGGAATTTCCTTGTTTCTGATGACACTCACTCATGACTAGAGATGGTGATGAGTCAAGTTTGTTGTGCTCTTCAAAACAAATACCCCATCGTTCAAAATCGTTAGTTTTTTTGTTTCTTTGGTTACCACAGGATTTATGCAGTGCCAGCTGTCTCCATTTGTTGCCAGATTCGTATGTCCTTACAATGTTTGTCTTTTCAAAGTCATTAGCTGGTGTCTCTCTTTGGGGCAGGGCCAGACTTGTTAAGGCGAGTGCTAATGGAGCATGCTGGTGTGTGGTGTTATCTTCACTGCTTGATTCCCCTTGCAGGGTGCCATCATTTTCAGCTAGTTTATGATGTTGGCATCTGGTCTGAGTTAATAATTTTTGCTCTTGGTTTGCATGTCTCACTGAAACATCTACAGTGCTTACACTGACTGCCTGCTGGTGTTCCACCACAGGCAATCCAGACAGACTGCTGCGCTGAATGCTACACGGCATGACTGTTAAATCTGTGACCTGGTGAACGGGGTGAGGCCAGGGTTGAATAATGCTACAGGGAACGTGTCCAGGGCTCATCGAGTTTTCAGCGAATCCACAAGGAGATCGAAGCGAATCAAAATTAGTTTTGTCCATCCAGGGTTCATCCAGATCAATCTTGCAGTACACCAACATTACGGGCCAAAGAGAAAACTGTTTGTCTTGTTGGCCATTTCTTGAACCTGTGGACCAGAACTGTGACAAGCCACTGAACTCCGAGTCAACTTCTTCAAGGATTTGCTTGTATTGGTTGGTCCAAATCCTGCCAACCAATTGTGTCATCTCAATATCACTCTGGGCAGCATCACATAAATCTGCATATTCATTGGCATGATTGACTTTGTTGTGATGCCAGCGTTTCAAATCTGTACCACGGAAGCTTTCTCCAAAGTGGCTGAGCTTCCCACTTCCGATAGCTTTTTGCACTATGTCAATCATGCCGTCGACAATCATGCCGTTCACGTTGACTGAATCTAGGGACTTGACTGAATGGACGGCAAGACAATAGAAACTATTTCTCGACTTCAACATTCGGCAGCCCGCACACAAGTAGTAATTCTGCACTTTGTGGCATATGGTATACAGGTCACATGACATGCACACATTCTTCTCAGGTCCCAAACTCAAAGTCCAAGGGTGACTGAATTTCAGGGTCTTGACAGGACTGTTTGTACCCCGCTCAGACAGTGGGCAAGTTGGTGAGGTCAAATCATGACCAGGCAAGAACATCACTGTATCAAAGTCTGGAGATGGGGGAAAAAAACAACTTTTAAATGTTCTACTAAGCTATTAAGCTTGGTGTAAAACTGTGATCCTGTGGGACTTATGGCAAAGATTTGCTTTAACAAGAGTTATTACAGTATTATTTGTTATGTTGTTGGACTTCAAAGTGCATTGATATCTACCATGAAAATAGAGCTTTTCATTTATAAAGAAAATAAGGAAATCACATTGAAATTATTTCATTCAGACATGTTTTTAAGGTGTAAATAATTTTCCCAAGATTTTTTGTATTCTTAAACAAAACTATAATATCTGATGATACACCATTTATTTTTTTTTAACATGCGTTACCATATTATTCAATAGTTATGATTTTTATTATACCCATTGTTTACTTACCGTAGACTATAGATAGTGACATTGTCAATTATTGTGGTGTAAGTTAAAAGTAATGAAGTTAATGTCTTATATAGCCACAACTAACTAAGTCTTTCAAATGAAAATTAAGATGAAGAGAGAAGGGGTCATCTATTTGTACTAATGTTGGGAACAGTATATTTAACTTATCATTATTAAAGATAATGGAGTGTGAGCATTGATGACCCATGCTCAATGACAACGATGATCTTTTAACATTTTTCATGGCTTGAAAAGTCACAAACAGTAAAAACAAAATATAATAGAAAGAAAGCACCTTTAAGTTTAAGGTTTTTCACATTTTAACTACCAGTTTTTTTTAATGTTTTTTAAAGAAAAGTAGAGTTACATATCCTGCTGTATCAAATTATGCACAGATGGAGCTTTTCTAATTCTCACATAGACATAAAGAAGATGAATAACAATGACTGCTCAATTAGCAAGTGTGATTTATTCATGTTCATAATAATAATAATAATTATACTACAAAGAAAAAATGGCCCCATTGATGACAAGAGGGTTCAGTTCTTCAATCTCCCACACCACCCTAGTTCTCATACAGATACAGAAATATTGTACTATGAATAACAGATGGGAATGAAATGCACCGAGTGTCAATTTTGGGCCAGGTTGCAAATTTAATAAATAATTACTTTACAATACGTAAATATCATTTTTTTTTTATATGTATAGACAAAACGTACCTTTAATTTACAACATGAGTAATTTTAAGACAATTTTATTATTTTTTTTTAATTGAAAAAAAGAAAACCATTTTTTTTCTTCTTTTTATCGTACTGCTAATTTAATATTCAACAATTGGGTTGCTATAGAGTGTTGATTATTACATTAAATAAAACACCCAGTAGCTAACCACAAGAACTCAACACAGAAAAATGTTAATGCAAACCTTAGAAAGTAATAATGTCAACGTTAAAATAAGTTTTGAAATTCAAAGAAACACAAAAATTCACGATTTGAATTAAATAACAAATTGAAGGATGCTTACGTGGGAGTTGGGTGATATGTTTAAAAGTTCATTTATTGAAGTTCTTCTCAAGACTAGAATACCCAATCACACTTTGGGGCATTAAAATAGTTGAAAGATTTTTTCATTGGGGCAATTAAATTTATATACGGTGTCCAATGCAGTGGAGATAACAGGACTAGAAACAACCTTGGGTCGAATACACCAGCCCAGCGCAACCTCTTTTAGGGTCCACATCCAATAAGGAATTATTTTATTATAATATTGACTGCCACCCCCACAAATTCAATAAATAATACAAGAGGTTAAGTCCTTGAAACCCGGTTGCGCATCACTGTGATTGATGGCCAACCAATCCTACTGGCTCTTAGTTGACTTAAATTTTTTCAAACAAATTTCTATATTGTAACATATTCATAAGCCTCATAGAAGATGAATAATCAAGTATCAAGCATGCATAACATAGTTTAAAATAGTTTAACATATCTGTCAATGTTAACTTTTCCATATTTAAAATAAAAAAAAAATTTAATAACAAAAATATTATACATTGAATGGCTTATTTTTTTTTTGCTAATAAAAGTCACTTTAGATAAATAGCTTGCCTTTTTCACTAGTGTTATTGATTGGAACTTTTCTTATTTATATGCTGTACAGTTTAACACCTCAATCATTTTTTTAAATTGATGTTTTCTATTATCAATAGATCCTGATGCGCACTACCAATTTTGTTAAAAAATAACAAGAAAGAAAAAAAAAACTTGAACAGCATAACAAAACAAAATGATCTAGAAGAAATTCACCTTGATTTTCTTTGAGTAATCCACTGTAAGCAAACAACATTTCTTATTGTAAAATAAACATTAGGACACAACTCTGAATAGTTTTATTGTAATTTGCTGTTTTAAATAAAGACCACACTTCCTTGCGCTCTCCTGGAAGTGAAATAAATGGATGTAAAAAAAAAAAAAAAAAAAAAAAAAAAAAAAAAATAAAAAAAAAAAAAGAAAAAAAAAAAAAAAAAAAAAAAAAAAAAAAAAAAGACTTTCAACAATGTCAAGGGAAAACTACTTAACTTAAGTAAGCAATTTACAAAATGGTGATATCGTTTTTGTTTTTTTTACCTTCTTGATGAGCATAAGAAAAAGTTTTCTTCCTTTAGCTGAGGAAATTAGTGATCTTTAAAAGTAAAATTGAGAGATTGGCGGACAAGATAAAACATAAGAACACAACCAAGCTGACTAGTTTAAAAAACTGTTGCCTTTAGGAATGGGGAGGATGTCGGGAAGGAAAAAGGGGGGCGCAAAAGATATAATTTCTTCGCTGAAATTCTCTTCTTACCTTACAATGAACTGAAAGTTATCACCTCGGCTCAGAATGAGGAACAGTGGGGACAAAAACAGTGGGAAAAAAACAACTGATTTAAGATCAGATATATATGTTGCTTTTTTTCTTCGTTGCCGTTACTTTTTGTTGGATAATATTTTTTAACTTAAGAGAAACTCTTCAAAAGTGATCACATAAAACTTTAATAATAATACACAATATATTTCTTTAAATGCTATTTCCATCATCGTGCCACAGATTAGATTTTTCAGTAAAATGAAGGTGGCCTCGATATCAAAGAAAATTTCACTTTTAACAAAAATTAATAAATTAGAGGCATCAACAGTTGGCCAGATATCCCCCTCCCTCCCCTGTTTTTTTAAAATTAATGCTTTAATTACATCCATTGCTACCATTGTTATACTGCTGTAAAAGATTCAAGACACTACCTTTCATCTTCATAAGAACTGTCTAAATCAGAGTCAAACCCAGAGTTGAGGAAATCTTTCATGTCATCAGCATTGTCTATCCCTTCTCTAGACCTTGTCCTGGTCCTAGAGGACCTACAGACTTGGCTGTTGTCAAGTTCTTCTACAGCCCTTGTTTTGTACAGGCTGCAGTGGACATGGCTCACTTCAGGGGATGCATTCTGGTAAATACGAGAGGTGGGAATGGCGATGGGGGACGACCTGAAGCTTTTGGCATAAACCGACTGTGGCGGCGAGGCTGGAGATTCAGTGTCCAATACTGGTGGCGGGGACGCTGGAGAATCCAGGGGAGGAGAGATGGGCGAGTCTACAGGTGATGGAGGCGATTCAGATGGTGGAGAAATAGGCGATGAGGGTGAAGGAGTTCTGAAAACAGGTGAGCTCTCTTCAACCTTAACCGATGATGATGCTTGGATCTCAGCAGGTGTCAGCCAGGAGCCAAAGGCAAAATTTGGAGAAAGCTGCTGCTCGGGTGGAGAATGGTGTAATGTTGGTGGCTGTCTGGCAGACAAAAAAACAGGATGCAGAGTAGCAGGTTGCTGATTGGGAATTCGCATATCAACATCCCCAAAGTCCTCATCCAGTGGAACATGTAAAGGCATTATGATTTCCTCTTTGACTTTTTCTGTGAACAAAGGTTTGGCTGATTTGACTGAAGGCGTCGTTCTATTTTTAAGTATAGATTGTGGGACAGCATCAGCTTTTTTAAGGCTGACTTCAGCCGTAGGCAGTGGAACCACCACTGATGCCCCTTGGTCAGGTGGGTCCACAACCGGTTCTGTGGGAATGATCTTTGGTTCAACTGGAATGATCTTTGCTCTGGACATTGGTTTACTCGCTTCAGTTATGAGCGGTTCAGTTGGTATTATTTTAGGCTTATAGTTCAGCACAGGTTCTGATGAAGACTTATGAAAGTCAGACATGGGATGTGACGATGTCAATCCCTGTTTTGTTGCCGTTGATCTGGAATACTTAAGATGGGCCTGTGTTTTTGTGTCAGTTTTCTCACCCAGAACAAGGGTTTTATCTCGAGTCAAATGGGCTTTAGGCCTGAGAGAGCTTGATGTTGTGATGGCAGGTTTCCTGAGAAATATGATGTCTTCCATCTGCTCATTGGTCAGCTCCTCCTCGCTGAGCTCTTCCTCCACAGTTTTCGTACTGTCCAGGAGTGTGAACCTGTCGTGATGTTTACTGGATGCGCCCGGCCCATTCTCTGTGTCTGAGTCGGAGCCGTGAGGGCTAAATGAAGGCATCGCCTTTGCCCTCCTGGACACTTGCTGTTTCGGTTTGCTGCTAGAGGCTGCAGGAAAATGAGATACTTTGCCCTTCTGACCAGACAGGCTTGCAGCCTGAATAGAAGCGAGTACCCTGGCGACATCATCGTCACGGCGGCGCTGCTGGTGTGCTTTTGACAGGGAAAGTTTTTTGCAAGAGCACTGGGCAAAGTTGATGTCTGCATCTGCCAGGGACATGGCGGCAAATTTGTTATGAATCTTTCTCTGCTCGTTAAACAATGGGGGGAGTTTCCTAGACAAACTGTGTTTGATTTTTTGCATCTTCTCATCCTCCATGTCATCATCAGAAAAGTCGGAGTCATCAAAGAGGTTTTCCCAGCTGGTAGCACTGCCGAAATTCTTGAAGGGTTTCTTTTTTTCCACAAGTTTCTCTTTGGAAACGATTAGAAAAAGAAAATATTCAAAGCTCCATAAGTAATGAAAAATTAAATACACCATGGAATCGAATTATATTTTAATACAGGGGTGGGCAAACTACGGCCCGCGGCCCTCGAAAGTATTTAGAAATAAAAAAATTACTTTGTTTTAAAGTTGAATTTTACAAAATTTTATGTACTGTTATGATTGTTTTAACATTTTTGATCAACTTCATTTCCAATTTTCTATTTTTTTTTACCAGGCTCTAACTTTTGTGATGTAACGCTAAAATGTGAATTTACAGATGTTAATATAGAGAAATGTTTATCGACATGTAAAAATTGGACACAATATACATCCGGCCCCCAAAAGCTTAACATTTGTCAATGTGGCCCTCAGCACAAAAAGTTTGCCCACCCTTGGTTTAAAAGATACTTAATACAATTGCAATAAAATAATGTAAAGGAGGTCCTCATTTTACCGCAGATTTGATGTCATGGTGGTCGTTCCCGGGTGCAAAAAATAATAAATTATTTTTTTTCAGCGCACCATGACTATTTTGTCATGGAAGTTAGTAGGATAACTTGCAAAATAGCATGAAACGTCCAGAATCCCAAGCTTCTTTAATCGCATGACCATCAGCTGGCGTCTAATGTTATTTGTGTAATTACAATGTCAATCTGACTTTTAACACTGTCTTCATAGCGTGTTTCATCCAACAGTGGTTCTGGTTGATCAAGGAGGAAGAAACACATCACATTGGAAATGATGAGACAAAGCGAAAGAGGAGAGAGACCAGTGGACCTTGCCCGATCTACTTGGTTCAAGTCAAATGACTGTGTCCACAATTGTGCACAACACAGCACATATTTTAGAACATTTAATAAAGCGACCCCTTACAGGATAAAGGTAAGGGCCCTTAATATATAGAAGATATCTCAAATATTTTTTAATATGTTTTAATATCTTAAATTTGATCGGTGTACATATATACATGCTCATATATACATATAAATTACACATCGGTAGTGAGCTTAGCAAATTACGGCAGATTTCAAGTTACGTCACTGTTGAAAAATGGAACCCTGTCGTAAAATGAGGACCTCCTGCATCGATGAAAAAATCTAAAGAATTAAAATACAATTATGTGTGCTGGCTGCTAAAAAAAAACTTTAAAAAAAAAAATTCAATTTATTTTTAAGCTTTGTCGAATAAAAAAATATAAAAATGTATTGTTTAAAAGGCTAGATTACTATGCAAAAAAAACAAAAAAACTGCTGGCTTATTCATGTTAACTTTTTAAAAAATATTCTTAATAAATAGTGTAGTAATAAAACTGAAGGTAAAAAAATAAAATCATATGAATGTCTATGGAATTATTTGCCTGAAATAGAGAATAAATGAGTTGATAAAGTCGAATACACAAGTGTAAATTAGAGTTTTATGATATTATATGTGTCCTCTTTCAGAGGCTAGAATTAACATCAAGTAATACTTACTTTTCTGAGCTTCATTTGTTGAAAAATTTGACATGAGAACACAATGTAAGACAGGTGAGTCGTCATCTCTTCTCACCAGACCTGTATTAGACAATTTTTTTTAATATCATGTAGTTTTAAATCTTATGGAACATTTTTAGATTAAATGGACGTATGACTTTTGGAATTTCAACAGTTCAATTTGTTTTTTCTTGTTTTTATTAATTTTTTCATCAATTTCTTCCATCTCAATTAAACAGGGAATGTGGCTAAACAAAACATTTCTCCCTAGGCTAGACTAGAACATCATTAACTTTAGATACAAAAGCCACTGAGTATTTGTAATAAGTATTTCCATTATTCTATGAGCAGCTGCTTACCTAGTTGTGATGCCAGCAGGCAGTTTGGCATGAGAAACAAGAAGACGCCATTTGGTAACTTGACAGTCGGCATCTGAGAACAAATTGATCTCCAGTATTGAGATACACAACCTTTGCTATCTTTAACTAAATTTAGAGTTGGGGTAAATAATAAAGCATCTGCAGATCAAATCATTACTATTCATGTAACTCGCGTGGTGAATAAGCCTTCTTAGTTCACTAGCAGCTCTAGGTTAGTAACGCACTAGATGACTAGAATTTCTCAGGAAGGGAGGGAGGGATGGAGAGGGGGAGAGAGAGCTTACTTCCCTTTTTGTTTTATATAATATATAGTTGCTTTTTTTCAAATAATGAACCTAAATACAAAATAAGTATTGCAGTTAATTTTTTAAGTCGATTTTTTAATCGTCACACCATAAATTGCATTTAATTCAAAACTATTTTTACTATGACCGAATTAGCATATATCTCTTGTGCTTCTACTTCAAGTTTTATGCAACAGATCTGCACTGACCTCTCTCTTGGCACTGACATGTTTTATCAAAGCCTTGAAATGCTCCTCATTGTTGGGCCGGGGTCTCATGACAAACGATTTGAAATAGTGAGCCCTCCACTCCACCTCATCTTTGTGGGCGATGTTGGTCAGGCCTCCGAAAAAAGTGAACTGGGCATTGTGTTCAGGGTACAGGCCATGGATTATAACAGGAGAGATCCTGGAAAAATGTTAGAACAGCCATTTCATAGTTGTGTCACATGAGTTGGGAGGCTAGAATTTAAACAACTAGTAAGATTAATACTACTTAAATTTTGGATGCTTGATAAGTTACTATTATTATTGTATAGGGAAAAACAGAAGAGGAAAAAGAAAGTGAAAATGCTCAGCCCAGTCGCAAAAACCTTCATAGAAAGACCCCAAAAAAGTGGAAAAAATAAATAGATGCGAAAAAATCATCAAACAATGAGGGACTGGATTCAAGCAGTGTGAAGGAAATAATGGAAAATATATGTTTAAGCTTGAAATGAAAAGACAGGACAATTAAAAGGGCGATTCGACTACATGCCTTCTTCACTAAACAATACAAAGCAAGAGGCAGCAAGTAATAAGAAATCAAAATTAAAAAATACATGCGTTAAAAAATCAAAATTAAGTCAATGTAGTTACATTTTTAGAGCCGGAAGTGCTCTATGTTAGAGGCAGAAGTTCAGTTGTTCAAAACTAAAACCTGCTCACCACATAATTCTGTGGTGCTTTATACCCAGGAGATAACCAGGGGTAAAAGAATTCACCTATTATTAATGTAAAATAGAGGACCACTATTAAGAGAGTATTTGATTGCTTCCATAGAGTGCCAAAAATCTGAGTTAATTTGATTTCATTCTTCCACAATACATCCCTAATGTATTATGCAAAAAATCAATGCTGTGATGGATACATCCGAGGTGCCCTTGTGTTCATCACCATTGAAATGGGATGGCTTGTTTTCTTCAATATCACGAAGATGTTCACTGAACCTATCAGACAGCCTTCTTCCAGTAGCACCTATATAACATATGTGTTGTTGAAAATTGTTAAATTTTACGGACCTCAAATCCCATCAGAGATGTTCCACCGTACATTAAAAAAAATATTTTTTTTCTAAATTTAGAAAATGGAACTTTTAATTTTTTGAAGACGTAGGAATTTTAGTGATCCAGTCCTTTTGATTAGCTAATGATTAGCCATTGATAACATGCCTCAGATGAGGGTACTCACAGAGTGACTGTGAGTGGAACAAAGTAGGACAACATGGCAACGTCTATAGAAATCTGGCCACCAGCAGTCAAACGCAGGTGTAGTCTGCCCCGCCACACCTCATTGCTGGGCCCTGTGTCCTGTGGTGTTGATGTGAGAGATTGGTAGTTTGGAGACTGAGCTGTTCCACCTGGTGGTAAGGTAGGTAATGTGGAAGCTGGCACTTGATGAGGTAAACTGAAACAACCACAATGATAACAAAATAAAAGCTTCTGTAAAGTTTTATTTATTTATAAATTCCAAAAATTGTAAAATGATTTTATCTTGGAAATAAAGACTTTAAAAAAATATACCATTATATGGTTTTGAAAATTTAATGTTTTAAGATTTGGCTCATTGAATGAACAATACTTAACAAAGGACTGAAAAACAGAATACAAAGAAATCGCTATCACAGATAGTGATACTAACAATATTCAATCTTATTATACTATTTAATCTCTTTAAAAATACAAATTGGTATCAACTTACATCACAACAAGTGAAAAGGTACAATTCTCAAAAAATACAAATATTAATTAATTTTACACACACATAAAGAGTAAAATCTTGCACTTATAAAACATCCTGTATGCCTAGGAAATATAGCAAAATATCTCTCACAGCTAGGAAAGCTGCTGGCTTATATATACATGTTTTAAATCATAACCCTCTAGTAAATAAATTCTAGAAATTGCGTCACCTGAAAGAATTCTTTAAAACAAATATAGCATCTTAAAACGTAAACAACCTTTTCCCAATCAAGGGAGGGGTTGCTAAAATGAGTGACACAGCACATTTAATCGCTAATGTCAATATCAAAACTAAACAATGGGAAACAAGTGGTGATAGCTAAAATTAGGCCTACACATGTTTTTTTTTAAATATTGATTTTGTTAGACTGACCTTGTAACAACCTTAGGAGAAACTGCTTGAGGATCTTTTAACACGTAATACACAACGGCATAAGGCAGCACCTGCCTGGGATACTCTTCTATCTCAAATTCTCCATATTCATACAAATAAAGCTGTTAAAATTAACAATTAAGAAAAAAAATCAAAATGAACTAATTAACACTGTTAAAACGTAATGTGATATGGCAAAGGTGTTGTGTAACTCCTAAAATAAAGCATAAAAATTAATTGATTTTTTTTTCTCACATTTTCACATTATCTGCTTTGATTGCGATCGGAATAATATTATGTAATGATCTCCGACACCCTTCAAGAAATATGTGCACAAATTCTTTTATTTGAAAGTTGTTTGACTTAAAATAAGATATTCAGGCTGATATGGCACACATACAGAAACAAAAGCAAGTAATGTTATTTAAACAATAGTGGAGTACAATCCACTTAGAAGATGAATTTTACCTGCGTGGAGTACAAAAGCATGTGTGGGGCTTGTAAGGCAGATTGGTCTGCATTTGGTTTGGCCATGTGACAGTCATAATTTGGTGTTGGTTCAAGTTGAACGCCAACATTTTTACATAGAACTGTTTTGACTTTGCCCTGTAATGAGTTTTACATTGGATCAAAAAAGATGTTTTTTCTAACACCATGTAATAAAGAAGAACAACGGTTACATTACACATTCATTTATATTATCATTGATGATATAAAAAATTAAATAATACGATGATAGAACAAATGAAGTAATGTTATAAAGAAGAACAACAGTTACAATATACATTCCTTCAGATGAAATTTCATTATTTCAAGGGCCACATGTGGCTCATCAGCCTCTGGTATGGATAGAGCTTTGGGACGACGTTGGCACAATGGTTTCTCAGCATCACATAAATTAAAAGAAAAGAAAAATAGAAAAAGGAAAAAAAAAAGAGATTTACCTTACCTTAATTACTTTGACCACAAGAAGAATTTTCTCCCCACACTTTGGTCTATTAGGAGTCACAATATCTGCATGTTTGCAAACATGGACAGCTGGGGGGAAATGGAAACGAGTGTTTTTTATATTTCTTTCTTGACCACAAATGTTAACTTCTTAGCTTCTCGTAGTTTTATGGTGAAGCTAGTACTTTTAGGCATAGGAGCCAAAATGATCAATAAATTGATCGTGGGCCCTTAATATATAGAAGAAGAAGAAGGTACATTTAAAAGAAGGTCTATAGCCATGTCAGAGGTAACAGTAGTCATAGTTAAAAAGCCCCCAGATTTAAAAAAATATTTCATTACCAGTATCGGTATTAATATGTTCTGTTATCAAATCTGCAGTTATTTTCTGTATCAAATGCTAAGATTCATGAATTTTAATTTTCAAAGAGACTAAGCAAGCAGCTTTGCCACAGTGACTCACCCATATGGGAGACACCCAGCCCTGAGAACTGTTGATTGCCACATCTAATGCCATCCTTACACAGTTTTGCTACCTAAAAATTGTATTTCATAGCATAGAAGGTTTTAACAGCTACACTTAAATTAAACAGTTTTTTCTTTAATGAACGGACACAATGTCTGTTGTATTTTCTTCAAATTTATAGTGTGAAAAGAAAACTTATGAAGGCATTTAATTACATACGTAAATAAACAAGGAGGAATGCAGGAAAATGAAATTAATAAAACAAATATACTGCATTATTTGCAAACTATCACCATTGTTTTAAACAACTATACTGACAATTCAATAAGAAAATTTGATAACTGTCACATAAGTAAAGGCCAAAAATCTGATACTTATGTTTTTTTTCATAACTAAATTGTAATCAGTTAATTAACTTTGAAAAAAAAAAACTTACAAAAAAAACAAATTTACAACGCTGAAAAATCAAAAACTTACAGTAGACGGATGTTCAATAGCTATAAAAGCAAAATTGTCAGCAAGCAATGCATCAGGGTATCCACTACTTTTCATTTCTTTTCGTTTCTCCAAATACTAAGATGATAAGAGAATGACAAAGGCTATAATGATACAATGAGGAACAACAAAAATTTGTATAAATGTACAGGCACAGATAAAAGGTAGCATAAAATTAAACCAGAAATGAAACAGTACAGCTTTATCTTACCTTGCCAGTCAATTCGGAGTTATAAACAGATTGCACTCTGGTGAATTCATGGCCAGAAGTGGAAAATGGGAAATGAAAACTTTTGCGAATAGGAGCTAATATTTCTTGCTGGCATTCATGTGAATCAAGAGTTAGATCTGTCAGCAAATCTATGTAATGAAAACATGTTTAAGGAACAAGTGTTTAAGATTTTTAAAAATATAATTCATTAAGATTTATATCCTTTTATATATATATATCTCTGAATTTTGTTGATTGGCCTTTGACATAATAGACGACAAAATAATGGTAGGTGGGCTACATTCCAACCAATTTTAAATGGATATTTCTGGATAGAACCAACTAGTTACTATTATATGAGGTCGTGAGCAGATCTCTGTAAATGTGCTTTATTTAGGGAACAACCGGTAATCGCCTCAGACATTCGCCCCAACCAAATATCCTGTTCTTTTCAAGTATTCGACTCTGCAAATACAACTATTTCTATCCATCCAGATCCGAAAATTTCTTTAAAAAAGAGAATTTTAAAGAAATTCAATAAACTTGTGTATTAAAATGGATGGTTTGATGGTTCTGCATTCTAAATTTTGCCAGTTTCAAACTACTTGCTGGCTGGATTTCAAAAACCCAAAATAAAATAATAAATGGCATTCTAAAAAAAACAAAAAAACTCGGATTTGGTACCATTGAAAATGTCTACCCAGTCCCAGTTGTTTCCTAGCCTTAAATATATTACTATGCATTAGTAATATATTGAATAAAAAAGACTTTAGTCCCTCCCTCCCTTGACAATGAAACAAAATGTATCTAGAAGCCAGTAACATTTAGGTTAAATATGAAAACAAGTAGCTGGATAAAAAGTGTAATTTAATTATAAATAGCTTAAGTTTTAAAATATACTTAAACTATAAACTTAAGCCTACTAAAATATAATAGATGAAAAATAGAAATAATGATTAGGCTAATCAATAGGCCTAAATAAAAATTTCAGTCGACAAACCTCGTTTAATTTTCTTTAATCGTGGTATAGTAAACTGTGGTCCATTGACTTTTGAAACAGATTTTCTTTTACTTGATCCATTGTCATGTTGGGTCTGTTTAAGTCCAGTCCTTATTTCCAAACTATCCATTTCTTGGTTATATATTATATTCATTCAAAGGCTTCTCTATGCATAACTTAAGGTTTTCTCAAATAATAAACTGCCTATAATCATGACTGGTTTCTGGGTGAGTAAAAACAAAACTATTTTAAAAAACAAAGTTTGAGCTGGCGAGGTAGAAAGGTCCATACAAACCTCGGCATTAATATGTGTCTACCCCACAAAATCCTCATTAACTTTATTAATTACATGCTACTTAATTTATAATTATGCTTAGGCCTACAACTACATTATTTATAATTAGGCTTAAGTGTCGTAAAATTGGAGCCTAGTCAGCCTTACCCCACTATAATTTGTGAAAGCCTAGTCTAGGGTCTACACATTTCAATCTTTTATTCCTATATTTAATTTTTAATTATTTTTTATAATTCAAAAGATAAACTTTACTTATTTAGTACTTAGAAACAAAAGTTAGAGCAGTTAGTTGTCTTAAATAATAATATAATAAATGAATAAGTTTAAGGATTAGCTCTGGAAATAAGACAGGGTTTCTCAAGCGCAGGACGGCAATGAAAAGTGATAAAATGGTGATATTTAATTCATGTTCGGTATTCAGTGGCCATTGCCAGCTGGCTAGACATATTACTATTACCCTCTATTCAGCTTTACCTATAAATAAACTTATTATACCTATATTTATAGGATAACAACCAATAATTCAATAATTAAGCTATTTTCTCTGGTCTTATAAGACTGCAAGAAGTCTTTTTTTTTTTTCGAAGTGAATACATGTCCAGCGACCGGACAAATAAATTCTTCAGATAGTCATCCGGTGACCAAGTCACATGACAGCCGTAACTGCTTTTGTTACATGCTGTGACCACTGTTTAAATCGGTATAATAGGAAGTGTGTCAAGTTAAAGTCTGCTTGTAAAGGCTGCTTAAAAAATGTATAAATATTGCCGAAAGCACAAGGACTTATTTTTTAATGAGTGCCAAATTGATAATTTTTCCTTTATTTCTTTGTAAAATTGTGTATGTTTAACTGTATTAATATTAGGGTTGAAGTTAAAATATCTATCCTACTTTTGTTTGAAAATATTCTCTTTCAAAATACAGTATAACGGTATTACAAAACTCTTAAACTATTTATAATGTGTTTTTGTTTCTTTTATATTCCATTACCTACTTGATAGTCATTTACTGACTGTAACATACTAATGATACTTTTATAGTATTATATTTTTATCTTCACTTTTACCTGAAAGTGTTTTAAACTTACTATTAACTTCAATTTAATTTAGGGTGACCAAAGTCCCGTAAAAACTGGATTGTCCATTTTTTACACGATCGCCCCTGGTGTCCCGAAAAAGTTTCTCAGGACGCCTAAATATCCCTTTTCTAAAACCAAACACATTTTCAAATCACTAAAACTTCCCAATTTAAAATAAAACTTCAAGTAACATTTCGGCTAGCTGTGATGTGGGCTCGCGTTATGGCTACACTGTTCGCCCTCCACAACTCTGCCGATGCTGCAAAATTATTGTTTTTGTTTATGAAATGCCCCAGAGTTTAAATTAAATAACACAAGTGAAGGTAAATTTAAAAAGATTTCTAGGTCTCAAAATAGTTAAAATGAGCATATTTCCATAAACAGTTTCCGGCGGAGGCCCCCGGACTCCTCTTTAGCTGGAGGGTATCTCCCTAACCCTCCTTGGGTGTGTCCCGTTTTTTCCAGTTCATGATTTGGTCACCCTAATTTAATTTCATGTTTTCATATATATAATGAACAAATGGTTTAAAAGTGACAATGTTAAATAAAGCATGACATGCCCGCCGGATGAATATCTACCGCACTATTTGTCCAGTCACTGTATGTGTAGAAAATGCTTTTTTTTCTCCATTTTAAAAAGCATAATGATTGTTGTAGGCGTTGCTAGTTAGTCAAAAGATTTATGATTGGAATTCTGTCTCAGAACACAGTCAATAATCTTTATGGTCTAATATAGAAAAGGTTGGTCTTGGTAATATGTAACCAGTAGGAGTAGGGAGCTATCTATGAATAAATTTGTCAGAACGAACCAGCCCAATGTTAAATAAAGCATGACATGCCCGCCGGATGAATATCTACCGCACTATTTGTCCAGTCACTGTATGTGTAGAAAATGCTTTTTTTCTCCATTTTAAAAAGCATAATGATTGTTGTAGGCGTTGCTAGTTAGTCAAAAGATTTATGATTGGAATTCAGTCTCAGAACACAGTCAATAATCTTTATGGTCTAATATAGAAAAGGTTGGTCTTGGTAATATGTAACCAGTAGGAGTAGGGAGCTATCTATGAATAAATTTGTCAGAACGAACCAGCCCAATGGTCGGTTCATAGTATTTTAGTGCGGTACTCAAAAAATTTCTCTTGAGCAGAGGGTTTTGAGATGGGAGATTTGTTATTTTCATTACAATTTCAGGTTACCAGACGTCCGCATTTAGTACAGACAGTTTGTATTTTCGACCCCCTTGTCCGTACCAATTATTGCGTCCGTATTTGTCCGTACTTTCCTCTCGTTATCCGGCTTGTCCGTACTTTTCGCAGCGACAACTTGCTAGTCTTATTTCCATTTATCTTATCTCATTTCTCTGTAAAGGCAAGCGCAGTGAATAGTTTCAACTCCATCTGACAGTCCAAAAATAGCATATTTATGTAATTTATATCTCCAATGCTGTAAAAATATCACCCAATGTTGTGTAGGAATTATCATCATAATTTAGCCATTTCTTTTCACAAATAAACTAGCTAGATATCGCTTTAGTAGCAGTATTACATTAATATTTCATCCAACATATCTTCAATGTGATAGTTCAGTGGTTCCTAGACTATAATGTTTCGATTCCCAGCGCTTTTGCCAAATTTAGCTTTTCACTATTCTTTTGTCGCCCTCTGGCATACTACTTTTCAGATAAGTGCTATTTTTATTTTATTCTGTTTTTACTTTCGTTTGTTTGCTGCAGAGGAAATGCTGCACCTGGGGCGAAGCCGGAAAATAGTGCCACTTCATACATAGAAAAATTGTCCTCGGGGCGGATCAGTAAAAAAGACGATCCCCCCCCCAAACGTATATGGGATTTGTTATACCGGGTATTAATTCACTATTAAGATCCTATCTAAAGAAGATTTTGGCGCCCACTGTGACTGCCCTCTTTGCCTCATGCTCATGGCTCTGCCCAAGAGTAACATGACACTCAGAGTGAGGCATATTATGGGGACCACTGGGCCAAACTGTCGGCGGTATAAGAATAAACCCGCGACCCATTTTTTTTTTATTCCCATGAGTCACAATTATCTATTAAATTAATTGATTTCTTCTGTGTTTGGGGATGGGAAAAAGCTTCTTGTATTGTATGTATGAGTTTGGGGGGAGGGTGTCCAAAAAAAGTCAAGAACACCCCCCCCCCCCCCCCCCCCCCCGGTT